TGTCGAGGCACAGAACTGGGAAGGGTACCAAAAAAGTTCTGCAGCATTGAAGGTCCCTAAGAACACAGTGTCCTCCATCATTCTTTTAAATGGCTATGGCCTCCATGGCTCTCGCCAGACTCTCCAGCCTCTGCTCCCAAGTCCAACCTCCCTCCTCCTCACGCGGCTTGACCCAGTCGAGGTGGATATCCGCTAGAGTTACCTCTGGCGTTGGCTCCTGGACACGCTGCTTGACCCAGTCGAGGTGGATATCCGCTAGAGTTACCTCTGGCGTTGGCTCCTGGACACGCTGCTTGGTCCAGTTTTGGTGGGATCTTCTGTCACGATCGTCATACACAGTGGACCAATGCGCAGCGTGATTTGCGAACATACTTATATATTAGAGTACCACACGAACAAAACAACAAAACGATACGTGACGTCCTTGGTAACAGACACTAACCATACACGGAACAAGATCCCACAACACACTGTGGAAAACAGGCTGCCTAAGTATGGTTCCCAATCAGAGACAACAAGCAACAGCTGATACTCGTTGCCTCTGATTGAGAACCACCCCAGCCAACACAGAAACACATGAGCTAGATAATCAGCCTAGAACCCAAAACACATAGAAACAACACACCCTGGCTCAACATAACGGAGTCCCAGAGCCAGGGCGTGACAAGCGATTATTTGGTATTTTGAGTCATAATCCAAATCCTTTCAAATATTATTTGTTTTTCTGAGACCTGTATTTAAATATCCAAGAAAATAATTTCATTTTAGTTGAAATCTATATAAACTATACTCGACTACTTTGAGTATTTTAAAAGTAGGTGTTTTCAAATAAATTACAAAATACAACTATTTTCTGGTCTGAAGGTCTGAAACACACAGAACTGGACTCTGACAAAAAATATTCACATCAAGATATTTTCTCTAAGATTATAGTGATTGTTGTTAGGCAGAGTACCTAATATTATATTCCAATATTTCCAATATGACCTAAATGTGTTACGATGGGACATGATCAGTGGTTAACTGAATTGCTCAAAAGCCCTATTGTACTCAGACAGACCCAGGTGTTCTTAAATATCTATTTGAATTAATTTTGCATATGCAATGTTGTTCAGCAATGTGGTGTCCATTACCAAGTAAAAATGCTCACATAAATATCCTTTATGTTTATAATTTTGGATTATTTGTTTTTTACTCAGTTAATTTTTCTATTGCATCTCTCTGTCTAAATGCTCATCTCAGCAGAAAATAGTAATCAAATAAAGCAGGTACAGAGCTTTCTGGTCTTTTTATTTTTTATTTTTTTTCTGGTCTTTTCTACTGCATAACACACAGATATCATTGCATGAAGTCACCAAAGTAACTGAAGGCTATTACTGGAATCTATTTGCGTGTGACACACTAATTCAAATATGTGTTCCAGGAAGACTGGATGTGTTTCTATGAGGGGGAAAAAAGAACAGTTCATGACATCATCATGGTGAACATACTGAATGGTATACTGTACCAAATACTGCACTCTACTAAGCATTTACTGTATACTGTACAAATAATAAAAAGCAACCATTGTGTTCATTTCAATGTTTTTGAGTCCAAATAAATAAACTATTTGTTCAGTGCAACAAAGTTTGTGCAAAGTTAGGATGCCAGAAATGTATACCGTAGAGAAAATGTATGTGAAAACTTTAGAGGTAACTTGCTTGTTTGTATTTTTGGCTAACCAGAGAGGACAGAAAGCTGATACAGCCCTGTCACACTGTTGATATCCCGCTCTGGTTGAGTCTCTGTTGTCCAACCAGCCTGGAGAGCAGACAGCCAGCCCTGACACACTCTACACTACACTGCCAGTAAGTCCTCATGATATCCTGATACACGTTTCCTCCAACCCACAGGACAATACTTCTCACAACACCTATAGAAAAGTTATCATTCACACCAACATATCCAGAGTATCAAATAGCCGTACAAAAGACCTTTAGAAATATAAACATTACATTCACGGTATTAGGCCTATTACTCTTTTAGAGATGCGTTGGGGCGAGGGGTGCTGGTGAAGGGGGGGTGCATGTGTCCAACTCTTAAAACACAATTGTGAATCTCAATGACAGTACTATAGAATGGCTATCTGCTGTTTGCATACAACCCAGGACATTTTATTGTACTGTAATAAATTCATTATGTGTTATATTGCACTGGTCGGCCTTGTGTTTTGAATATATATATACAGTGGGGGAAAAAAGTATTTAGTCAGCCACCAATTGTGCAAGTTCTCCCACTTAAAAATATGAGAGAGGCCTGTAATTTTCATCATAGGTACACGTCAACTATGACAGACAAATTGAGCTTTTTTTTTCTTCAGAAAATCACATTGTAGGATTTTTAATGAATTTATTTGAAAATTATGGGGGAAAATAAGTATTTGGTCACCTACAAACAAGCAAGATTTCTGGCTCTCACAGACCTGTAACTTCTTCTTTAAGAGGCTCCTCTGTCCTCCACTCATTACCTGTATTAATGGCACCTGTTTGAACTTGTTATCAGTATAAAAGACACCTGTCCACAACCTCAAACAGTCACACTCCAAACTCCACTATGGCCAAGACCAAAGGACACCAGAAACAAAATTGTAGACCTGCACCAGGCTGGGAAGACTGAATCTGCAATAGGTAAGCAGCTTGGTTTGAAGAAATCAACTGTGGGAGCAATTATTAGGAAATGGAAGACATACAAGACCACTGATAATCTCCCTCGATCTGGGGCTCCACGCAAGATCTCACCCCGTGGGGTCAAAATGATCACAAGAATGGTGAGCAAAAATCCCAGAACCACACAAGGGGACCTAGTGAATGACCTGCAGAGAGCTGGGACCAAGGTAACAAAGCCTACCATCAGTAACACACTACGCCGCCAGGGACTCAAATCCTGCAGTGCCAGACGTGTCCCCCTGCTTAAGCCAGTACATGTCCAGGCCCGTCTGAAGTTTGCTAGAGTGCATTTGAATGATCCAGAAGAGGATTGGGAGAATGTCATATGGTCAGATGAAACCAAAATATAACTTTTTGGTAAAAACTCAACTCGTCGTGTTTGCAGGACAAAGAATGCTGAGTTGCATCCAAAGAACACCATACCTACTGTGAAGCATGGGGGTGGAAACATCATGCTTTGGGGCTGTTTTTCTGCAAAGGGACCAGGACGACTGATCCGTGTAAAGGAAAGAATGAATGGGGCCATGTATCGTGAGATTTTGAGTGAAAACCTCCTTCCATCAGCAAGGGCATTGAAGATGAAACGTGGCTGGGTCTTTCAGCATGACAATGATCCCAAACACACCGCCCGGGCAACGAAGGAGTGGCTTCGTAAGAAGCATTTCAAGGTCCTGGAGTGGCCTAGCCAGTCTCTTTGGAGGGAGTTGAAAGTCTGTGTTGCCCAGCGATAGCCCCAAAACATCACTGCTCTAGAGGAGATCTGCATGGAGGAATGGGCCAAAATACCAGCAACAGTGTGTGAAAACCTTGTGAAGACTTACAGAAAACGTTTGACCTGTGTCATTGCCAACAAAGGGTATATAACAAAGTATTGAAAAACTTTTGTTATTGACCAAATACTTATTTTCCACCATAATATGCAAATAAATTCATTTAAATCCTACAATGTGATTTTCTGGATTTTTTTTTCTCATTTTGTCTGTCATAGTTGACGTGTACCTATGATGAAAATTACAGGCCTCTCTCATCTTTTTAAGTGGGAGAACTTGCACAATTGGTGGCTGACTAAATACTTTTTCCCCCCACTGTATAGTTAGGCAGAGCATAGCTTAGGATGCACTGTTTCTACACAGATCAGACCTCATCATACTCAATTCATACCAGACCCAGTTATTCTCTACAAAAGCTACAGCAGGTAAGACAGACTTTTGATACATTTACATGTTCATCAAACTTTACCATGTTTTTGTGTAGTAACTAATCACATGCATTTTAATAAAAAGTTACAGTAAGCTATGTATCACTTTTAATGTGGTTTCATCACATTGTCATACTAAACATATATATTTTTAAATACCATTCTTGTTGAAGCTAATAAGGAAATTAAATGTTAGTGTCACGGATCCCCCCGGTACTGCTGCTCATTCCATTCACCAGCTCCGGAGGTCTACGTCACCGGCCTTCTAGGCGTCACTGACCTGGATCATTACCACCAACCCCGGACTGTCTTGTCTCATTACGCACACCTGGTTCCCATCCCCCCTGATTAGTATGTGTATATATGTGCCCTCTGTTCCCCATTGTCCTTGTCGATTATTGTCCCATGTCCGTTGGTCTCATGAGTACCGTGTATTGTGCTCTTGTTATTAACGGTCTCGTTCCGGGTTTACACCTCGCTCTTTTGTTACAGCCCTGTGTTATATTTATATATACGTGTTTGTTTTGGGCTTCGTCCCCATCGTTTTTCATAACGTACCTTGTGTTGTGTGGAGAAATACAAACCCCTAATACGTATTCCTGCGTCTGTCTTCTAATCATTATACAATGTGACAGTTAGTCTATTCATCTCTAAATATGTATTTTAAATTAATTAATGTTTGTGTTATTATCAGAAACTAATATCAGACGTTGTTTACAGTACTGACCCTTTTTTTAATGCTCAATCATACAGCTCAAGTCTTGTAATGATGCAGGCACTGTAGTACTAGTACCTGATTAAATGAAAAACTCAAAGCCAAAGTGGGATGACTGCAAAAATCCTAAATGTGACACCTCCTTATTCTCACACAGGACACCATCCCATCACTTCTCCTCTGTCTCTCCTGACCCTGCTGTCACCATGGAGATGACCTCTCTCCTATTCCTACTCTGTGCAGGTATAGAATTCACCTGACCTAATCACAATACAGTATACTGTATGCACAACATGACAAACCATACTAACTTCTCTTCCTTCATTTGTTTGTTATATGCATGTTTACATTTCACTTAATCAAATAGTTTGTCCTCACCAGGATAAATTGGACAGAAGCACAGGACTTCTGCCGGGATAACTATTCTGATCTTGTCACTTTGTACAATCAGGAGGACTCTCAGCAGCTGACACAGTTAACAGCATCTAATAGCAGCTATAAAGCCTGGATAGGTCTCAATCGCAAAGAGCACAGTCTGAAGTGGTCCAATGGAGATTATGTTAATGACACTTCATGGTCACCACTTCCAAGTCCATACACAGAGCCAATGTGTGCAGCCATAATCACAATACAACATGGGAGAATTGTACAGAGCAGAAATACTTTATGTGTTATAAAAAAGGTAAAACATTCCATACTACAAAAAAAAAACATTAGATTTCCTAGATGTTGTTGCTCCTCAACAACATCCAGTTCATATTATTATAATTCTTCAATAATATCTAGATATAATTATTTGATATCAAACTAAGTTGAGTAGAGTAAAATGTTTGTCCATTCTGTGTGCTGGGCCTCGTGATTCCTTGCTGATTGAACAGAACATGACCTGGTATGAGGCTCAGAGGTACTGCAGGAAGAATTACACTGACCTGGACAGAAGGAGGAAGTGAAGAACAAAGGGATGAACAGCACTACTCCTTACTGGATCGGCCTGCTGTATGATGACTGGGAGTGGGCTGATGGAGGGAGATCTGCCTACAGAGACTGGGTGTACAATCCTAATGCAGGACAGATACACACTGTTCTTTACCAGCCTGAAAAAGGTATAATCACTTTGGGAAATGAAGATTATGAAGAATATACATTCTGCTCTGAAGGTAAGTTGTCAAAGAGGAACATGGTCAAACTGCTTCTTATATGTATGAAATGTTGCTACTCTATATTGATAGTAGCCTGGTCAAGAGGACTGAACACTGCACTCCCTTTTCATTTCACTTCACTTGTCAATTCAAACACAATGCAAGCTATCATGTGATCATGCTGGTTTCACCAGGCTATAATGATATTGAACTATTACTGAAATTATGCCCCTAAAACCTGAGAGTTGAAATGGGTGCTAAAACAAGTAAATGTTAAATACTGTATCTTGAATACCACATTTATGTCTTTCAGGATCAGTTCGCATCCACATCATCAGTGAAATTATGTCTTGGGAACAGGCTCTGGACTACTGCAAGAAGAACTACCATGGACTGCTGTGTATTGAGACAGCAGAAGACCTGGAAGCAATCAAGCAGAAGTTCAATGGGACTGATTTTACTGGTCCTGTGTGGGTGGGTCTGAGACAGAGCTGTCTCTTTGGGTTCTGGATCTGGACCAATGGGCTACCAGTGGGGTGGAGTAACTGGGAGCGAGACAGACAGCCTGAACAGCCTCCGTCCAACCATTGTGGTGTCATGGCAGCGGATGAGGAATAGAAGTGGAGTGATCAGGACTGTCTCTTCCAGCGCACCTTTCTTTGTGAAGAATAATTGATATAAGTCTCCCTTCTGTTAATTTAATTAACTGTCTTTACCATTGCTCACATTGTGATTGATATGTGGGGGTTTTGATAATTGCTGATGAAAATAATATTGCAATTTTTTTAAACAAATGTTTAGGTTTACAGCATGCAATATGATGTACAATATACCTTGTCATTATCAATATAACTTGTTATCAATAATCTTTGAGTAGAAATGTGTGATATTTCAGATATTTTTAATATTTAAGACCATAATCTATAGATTATATAAAATGGTGATTAAATTATGATATTCTCCACTAGAACACCACTGTAAGATTGGGTAATCATAGTTTGGAGTGATGACTCACTAATCTCTGATGTTAGGTTAATTTACATATGTGTACCTTCATTACAGGCAATAGTTAGTTTTGGCAACGGTGGAGGGATACAAGTGGAGTGATCAGGACTGTCTGTCCAAGCGGGCCTTCATATTTTCCATCTTCTTTATTTCCTTATCTGTCTCTACCATTCGTCACATTTTGATTCATCTTTGGTTTTCAGGTATTCACTCATTAAAATAATATTGTCAATGCTTTTTTAATGTTTAAGCTCACAGCATGCAATGTAATGTACAATGTACATAGTCCTTACACAGTACATACAGTGAGGGAAAAAAGTATTTGATCCCCTGCTGATTTTGTACGTTTGCCCACTGACAAAGACATGATCAGTCTATAATTTTAATGGTAGGTTTATTTGAACAGTGACAGACAGAATAACAACAAAGAAATCTAGAAAAATGCATGTCAAAAATGTTATCAATTGATTTGCATTTTAATGAGGGAAATAAGTTCGGAACTCTGTAGTGAGTGTTGCAACCGAGGACAGACGATTTTTACGCGCTACGCGCATCACCACTTTGCGGCTGAGCCGTTGTTGCTCCTAGACATTTCCACTTCACAATAACAGCACTTACAGTTGACCGGGGCAACTCTAGCAGGGCAGAAATTTGATGAACTGACTTGTTGGAAAGGTGGCATCCTGTGACGGTGCCACGTTGAAAGTCACTGAGTTCTTCAGTAAGGCCTTTCTACTGCCAATGTTTGTCTATGGATAGGCAAACTGCCTCTCCTGCTCAACTGTCCACACACCACCACAACAACACTCAAACGGCACGCTCAAACACACCTTTGCAAGCATATACACAAATGCGCATGTAGGTACGCACACACACACACACATATGCACGTTCGCACTTTGGCGGTTGATCCATACTGGTTGTACACGGCGCTCAAGGTGCTCTGTCAAAATGTTTCAGTATGAAAAACCAATAAAAACAATTTAATAATAATGAAATGTTTCAGTACGACTGGTAAACTACAAAGCCGCACCACTTGCAGCATTACGGTAGCCAGTACACACCGGTAATGTGCTTACTCACAGTCCCACACCACTTGTGTGTGTATAAAGACCCCAAAATGGCACCTTTCAAGAGACACGCTTACGACGTAGAGTTCAAGCTCAAGGCTGTCGGTCATGCAGTAGAATATGGGAATAGAGCAGCAGCGAGAGAATTCAACATTAATGAATCAATGGTACGGAAGTGGAGGAAGCAAGAAGATGACCTGCGCCAAGTAAAGAAGACTAAACAGAGTTTCCGAGGGAACAAAGCGAGATGGCCACAGTTAGAGGACAAACTCGAACAGTGGGTTGTTGAACAGAGAGCAGCAAGTAGAAGCGTCTCTACAGTCACTATTCGAATGAAGGCAACAGCGCTAGCACGGGACATGACAATCGATGAATTTCGAGGCGGTCCTTCTTGGTGCTTTCGTTTTATGAAAAGACGTAATCTCTCCATCCGCACACGAACTACCGTCTCGCAGCAACTGCCAAAAGATTACCAAGAAAAGCTGGTCACTTTCCGCGCATACTGCAAAAAGAAGATCACTGAAAAGAAGATCCGGCCAGAGCACATCACCAACATGGACGAAGTTCCACTCACCTTTGATATTCCCGTGAACCGCACTGTGGAGAAAACGGGGCCCAGTACGGTGTCTGTACGCACCACAGGAAATGAGAAGTCATCCTTCACTGTAGTTCTCACCTGCCAGGCTAATGGCCAGAAACTTCCACCCATGATTATTTTCAAGAGGAAGACCTTGCCAAAAGAGAACTTTCCAGCCGGCGTCGTCATCAAAGCAAGCCCGAAGGGATGGATGGATGAGGAAAAGATGAGTGAGTGGCTGAGAGAAATTTACGTCAAGAGACCGGGTGGCTTTTTCCACACAGCTCCGTCCCTATTGATCTACGACTCCATGCGCACCCATATCACCGATGCTGTCAAAAAACAAGTGAAGCAAACTAATTCGGAGCTTGCCGTCATTCCGGGTGGATTAACTAAAGAACTCCAGCCGCTAGATATTGGTGTCAACAGGGCGTATTAACATTTACATTTTACACTTTAGTCATTTAGCAGACGCTCTTATCCAGAGCGACTTACAGTTAGTGCATACATTATTTTTTATACCCCCCGTGGGAATTGAACCCACAGCCCTGGTGTTGCAAACACCATGCTCTACCAACTGAGCTACATCCCTGCCGGCAATTCCCTCCCCTACCCTGGACGACGCTGGGCCAATTGTGCGCCGCCCCATGTGTCTCCCGGTCGCGGCCAGCTACGACAGAGCCTGGATTAAGCGTTCTGACAACTCCGTTCACTCCCATGGTAACGTTGTTCAAACGTTAATGTGCATATTAACAATATCTCCCAGCCTTGCTCACTCTTCTCCCAAACGTGGAGGGGAACTTTTCCCTGATTCAGTAAACACGTAGTAAAAGAAACAGTCTGATACCACTAAATCAAACGTTAGTGCATAACTCAACATTGTTCAGTTACGTATAACACGTAAAGCTCACTTTTTCAGTTCATTCCCCATCCACGAATCCCTCGAATTCTTCTTCTTCAGTGTCCGAATTGAACAGTTGGGCGACTACGGCATCCAACCTGCCCGGCTCCCTCTCGTCATTATCCGAGTCAGTGTCGCTGCTGTTGCCTGGCAGTTTAGAGATTATTCCTGCCTTCATGAAAGCTTGGACCACAGTTGAGACTGATATATCAGCCCATTGATTCATTAATGTTGAATTCTCTCGCTGCTGCTCTATTCCCATATTCTACTGCGTGACTGACAGCCTTGAGCTTGAACTCTGCGTCGTAAGCGTGTCTCTTGAAAGCTGCCATTTTGGGGTCTTTATACACAGACAAGTGGTGTGGGACTGTGAGTAAGCACAGTACCAGTGTTTACTGACAACGGTAGCCGTAATGCTGCAAGTGGTGCGGCTTTGTAGTTTACCAGTCGTACTGAAACATTTCATTATTATTAAATTGTTTTTATTGGTTTTTCATACTGAAACATTTTGACAGAGCGCCTTGAGCGGCGTGTACAACCAGCATGGATCAACCACTTAACCAATTGATCCATCTATAAGGCGCTCCGGATTATAAGGCGCACTGTCGTTTTTGGAGAAAATTAAAGGCTTTTAAGTGCGCCTTATAGTGCGGAAAATACGGTAAGTCTTTCTACTTTCCTCTAAAGTGGCATCACCCCATTATGAGTGGATCTGCCTGGCAGGCCACATTATCCCTCTCAGCTTGCTGTGTTCTTGCATCATCACTCTCAGGGTCAGCCTGCCCTGTGCCTTCCTGGGAGTTCTGCCCTCACACACGTGCCTCTTCTAAATTCTCTTTCAAGTGTGTTGAACACAAATTTGTCTATTTACTACATGGTTGTATCAATTACAACATGGCTCAAGTGAAGTGTTAAAATGTTCATCATTGCAGATTACAGTGAGGGAAAAAATTATCCCCTGCTGATTTTGTACGTTTTCCCACTGACAAAGACATGATCAGTCTATAATCTTAATGGTAGGTTTTGAACAGTGAGAGACAGAATAACAACAACAAAAATCCAGAAAAACGCATGTCAAAAATGTTATGAATTGATTTGCATTTTAATGAGGGAAATAAGTATTTGACCCCTCTGCAAAACATTACTTAGTACAGTGGGGAAAAAAAGTATTTAGTCAGCCACCAATTGTGCAAGTTCTCCCACTTAAAAAGATGAGAGAGGCCTGTAATTTTCATCATAGGTACACGTCAACTATGACAGACAAATTGAGAAAAAAAATCCAGAAAATCACATTGTAGGATTTTTTATGAATTTATTTGCAAATTATGGTGGAAAATAAGTATTTGGTCACCTACAAACAAGCAAGATTTCTGGCTCTCACAGACCTGTAACTTCTTCTTTAAGAGGCTCCTCTGGCCTCCACTCGTTACCTGTATAGGATTGGGAGAATGTCATATGGTCAGATGAAACCAAAATAGAACTTTTTGGTAAAAACTCAACTCGTCGTGTTTGGAGGACAAAGAATGCTGAGTTGCATCCAAAGAACACCATACCTACTGTGAAGCATGGGGGTGGAAACATCATGCTTTGGGGCTGTTTCTCTGCAAAGGGACCAGGACGACTGATCCGTGTAAAGGAAAGAATGAATGGGGCCATGTATCGTGAGATTTTGAGTGAAAACCTCCTTCCATCAGCAAGGGCATTGAAGATGAAACGTGGCTGGGTCTTTCAGCATGACAATGATCTCAAACACACCGCCCGGGCAACGAAGGAGTGGCTTCATAAGAAGCATTTCAAGGTCCTGGAGTGGCCTAGCCAGTCTCCAGATCTCAACCCCATAGAAAATCTTTGGAGGGAGTTGAAAGTCCGTGTTGCCCAGCGACAGCCCCAAAACATCACTGCTCTAGAGGAGATCTGCATGGAGGAATGGGCCAAAATACCAGCAACAGTGTGTGAAAACCTTGTGAAGACTTACAGAAAATGTTTCACCTGTGTCATTGCCAACAAAGGGTATATAACAAAGTATTGAGAAACTTTTGTTATTGACCAAATACTTATTTTCCAC